GGAGACAAGCCGCTTCTGCGGCCACACAGCCGCTTCTGTGGCGCTGCAAAAATACCAGAAGAAGGACATTCAGCTGCTGCAATAACTTCAAAATTCATCCGTTAACCACCCGAAATCATCCCGAGGCCCCTGGGACCTCAACCAAAAGCACCAATACCACCTAATACCTTGTTCAAACTTGTACCAATCTTAAAAACACCTAAAACAACGCTGGAAAATTAATCAAAGATTCAAGCCTAAGAACTTCAAATTCCAACAAAACACGCTTTCGATCAAAAACCTACCCGAACCTCGTCCGAATGACCTGAAATTTTGCACACACACCCCAAATGACATGACGGAACTACTGTAACTTCCGAAATTCCAATCCGACCCTCGGATCAAAAACTCACTATCGGACCGGAAACTTATAAAATTTAAACTTCGGCCTTTCAAGCCTAAATGAGCTACGGACTTCCAAAATACATTCCGAACATGCTCCCAACCCCGAAATCACCTAACGGAGCTAACCGAACCATCGGATTTCCATTCCGAGGTCGTCTTCACACTGTTCCGACTACGGACCACTTTTCAACACTTAAGCTCTCATTTAGGGACTAAGTGTCCCAAAGCTCTCCGAAACTCAACACCGAACGTCCCGGCAAACCAAAATAGCAGAAATGAACTTAGGCGAAGCAGTTAATGGGGGATCGGGGCGTAAATTCTTAAGACGACCGGCCGGGTCATCACAATCACCCCCGTTAGGGAAGGGTGTGTCATCTCCAAACTCACCGGCATTGTTGTCATAATCACTATTCTCTTTCTGACTCTGCGCATCTGTCAGATCCCGAGTAAATACGACGTCTTTGGACAATTGAGTAAGGACAGGACCATCAAGTTGCTCGTTTTCACTGCACAACCAAAGAAATAATGAGTTACTAAAATTGGTCCAAACAAATACATATAACTTTATATATTCACTTACAAATCATAATGTGTTGATATCCCATGATACACATTATCTTGTTGATGCTTACTCTCGGATGGACCACCATGATCCAACACACCAAAACTAGGCATATACCAACTAGCCATTGGTTCATAACTTGTAAAATTCATAACTGGTCGGTACCCCATGTGAAATATATGAGTGTTAATACAAATAGAATACACAAAACTATACATCGTAACACAAAGGAAAATTAAAGTTTACCACTCGGTTTGTGGATTACGTATACTAAGGGAGAAATTATTTTCTCGCTCCTCATTCACATGTGGAGATAAGTTTAGATCCGGCCAAACTCTTTCAGCCGGAACATGTTCGGCTAAAATTGCTCCAAAATAACCACCCGATGATTGAGGGATTTTCCTACTTTGTGCAACCTCATTATTACGAACGTCTTCAGCCTTAACGTACATTTCCAACAGTTTTATTACAATAAATTCCCGGTATTCATCCGGAGTCCCCAAAAAATCTCTCAGAGTTTCATCGTCTTCGATGTTAAACTCAGCATAACAAGCTACCCCTTGCGGAGTCACAGAATACGGATATCTTTCGGTTATTTTAAGATTCATCGAACATTTGCTCACACTCATTTTTGTACATATCAACGATACCAATTTATCATACTCCATTGTAAGTGGCAACTTAACATGAGACTGTGGAGATAAACTATAGCTTACTGAGTTATTCGCCATCACAACCTCACCCCCCCCCCCCCAATATAATGAAATCCTAATTCTTCGCTCTTCAGACATTATGACAAAATGCAAAACAACTTAATAAAGAAAAATTTCAGAAGACTTGAAAATGTTTATGAATTGATTTTTACAAAATCTTTCACCTCTTTAAATAAGGCAAAAACTAGTCCGGGGGTTCCATTATTTGAGGTATAACGTCTTAGCTTAAAACGCCATACCAGTTGAATTATTATTGTGTCAGTTAAGTACAAAAGAATTATTTGTCGGCCATATATATATATATATATAGCGTCTTTTTGAAAGACGCTATACTTAACTGGCCAAACGGCCCTTAAGGTATAGCGCGAAAAAATGCTATATATATTTTGGTCACTATATTTGTTCTCCACATATTTTTATCCTTTGAATCCAAAAGAACCACATACTAATTCCGGACTCTTCCATAAGAGATCGAACCTAAAAACTCTTACTATTAAAGGTAAAGAAGTACATCTATCATTTCATCATAACCATTGTTTGGTCAAAGCTTTTACCACTTGCCGGTTGCTCCTACTCATCTATTCTAATATTACCATTATTTTATTTTATGTGATCCTGTTTAATCAGATAAAGGTTTAAGGAAAAATAACTTTTTTAACTTTATGGTCTTATGTATGTCATTACATTTGTACGACTATAAAAAATTTAAAATTTATAGTCTTAAATAAAATAAAATATTTGTGTTGCTATAAATATTAGTCATTAAAGATAAAATGAAAGATCTAAGCTAGCGTTTGGCCATTGATCCCAAATTTATTTTGAAAAATCTGATTTGGGTGAAGTTTGGTTTGAAGATGAAAATGTGTTTGGACATACGTTTTCAAAACATATTTTCCAACTTTATTTTGGAAAAACATGTATATAATTCCCAAGTTTTGAGATTTTGGCCCAAAATCAGCTCAATAGCTGATTTTGGGATTTGAAATTTGGGATTTGGCCAAAATATGAGCAAAATTTATGGCCAAACATGAGTTTTGAAACCGGAAAAGGGCCAAAAGTATCCCTATCGTTTGCTAAATGGTTTATAAATACCCTCCGTCCATCTATCCGTTCAAAAAAATACACTCAGTCCATCTATCCGTTCAAAAAAACACACGAAGTTAATTCTATTAACAAAAATACTCCCGCGACTAACGGCAGAACTGATGGAGTGTTTTTTTTTTTGAACGGATAGATGAACGGAGGATATTTATAAACCATTGAGCAAACGATAGGGATTATTGACCAAGAATCAAATATGGGTCTTATTTTTACCCATTTACCTTGTCCGACCCTATTTATTTGACCCGCCTAATTATTTTCTTTCTTTTTCTTTGCTTTTTTTTTCCCTCTCTTTTTCCTTATCACCCAGCACACCCACTCTCATCTCACAAAGAATTTTTAGCGTTTCTTTGTTGAAACAAATCTTTCTTTGTGTTTGAAAATATGGCTTTGGCTTTCACTTCATCTGCAATTCATGGCTCTTTGTCCTCCTCCTCTTCTTCTTATGAACATCCCAAAGGTAACCCTTTACTTTTTTTTTTTTTTTACCTTTTATAGATTCAATCTTTATCCTAGAATGTGATAATTTCAACCTTTTTAGAACCTTGGTTTCAATTTTCTTGTGTGCTTGTATCAGTTATATGTAGTTGTTTTTTCTCTGTTATTTCGTGGCTCTTTTGTTTTCTTACGAACAATCCAAAGATTTCCATTACTTGTCCCTTTCAAAGTTTCAATATTTCTCCTAGATTTGATTGATAAATTTGGAAATTTTTAGCATTTGGGCTCAATTTTTTGGTTTCAAATTTTTGGTTTGTTTTGATCCTTGTCTTCTTACTAAACAACCCAAATGTATCTGTTGATTTTCCATTTATGAGTTTCAATACTTATCTTGAGATTGATTGGAGAAATTTCAGAATCTGGTTTGAATTTCGGGTTATTTGATTTTGGGTTTTATCTATTCTTTAATTAATTTGTTATTGTGTGGAGAAGAAGAAAGGGGGAGATCAGATGAGTGGGAATGGGTGTGATAGATACTACCCATTTTTGTAAATGGGTCGGATAAGGTAAATGGGTTGAAATAATATCCATTTTTTTAGATTTCCACGTGGCCCAATTAAAAATCCCTATCGTTTGCTAAGTGGTTTATAAATACCCTCCGTCCATTTATCCGTTCAAAAAAACACACTCCATCAGTTCTGCCGTTAGTCGCGGGTGTATTTTTGTTAATAGAATTAACTTCGTGTGTTTTTTCGAACGGATAGATGGACCGAGTGTATTTTTTTGAACGGATAGATGGACGGAGGGTATTTATAAACCATTTATCAAACGATAGGGATAGTTTTGGCCCTTTTCCGGTTTTGAAATTAAATCCCAAATTTATTTTGGGAAAACTCATGGCCAAACGGGGCCTAAGTTGAGGTTATTTTCGAAATTTGGGAAAAGTAGTTCTTTTTTAAAGTAGCCTAAGGGCCCGTTTGGCCATTAAAAGAATTACTTTTTTCACTTTTTTTCGGAATCAGTGTTTGGTCATGAAAATTTCAAATTTCACTTGAAATTAAATTTCGAAACTTTTCAGAAATTTAAAAATTCCAAAAAACTATTTTTCAAAATGTCACTTCAAATCACTCACAAAAAATAAAAAACAATTCCAAATTATATTATGTCAAACACAACTCTAATTTTCAAACACCATTTCACTTGATTTTTTTTCGAATTTCACAAATTTTTAAGTCCAAATGCACACTAAAAAGATATAATCACCTACACTGAAACAATATCACTCCGTTTTCTTTCTGTAGTAAAATAGGTGCATATGACAAAGTATATACAACCTATATTTGAACATACTTTGATCAAGAAAAAAAAACATGACAGAGTATACTCCCTCCGGTCCACAATAAGTTACCAATTTGCTTTTGGTATATTCAGTAAGGAAATACTAAATTCTAAACGAAAATAGTTAGCGTGGCTAAGCCACCCTTCATTAAATATTGCACCATAGTTATAGTAGTACTTACTTCTCTTCTCAAATGTAATGAGTAAATGACTTTTTAGGGATATGTAATAAGGGTAATTTTGGAAAAATACATTGATTTTTTCTTGATTATATAAATGAACACTTATTTTGGATCAAAATAAAAAAGTAAATTGATCATTTATTGTGGACCGTATATTCTAAGTATATTCTAAGACGTTAATTCAAATGGTTTATTCACTTTAATGCAAATCCGCCCACAATCTCTTTCAGGCCTATGTCTGTCTCTCCTGTTAAGTTACTTCAGCATGGTTGGCTAATAAATACACGCTCCTCCGCTCGTTCGGGGCAATTACCCAAAATGTCACTTACTCCTAGACTCATGTAATAAGAGTGTGCTAGTGGGTTTTGCAGATAATGGAAATTAACAAGACAAGTCTTTGCCCAAGAGAAAAAATTGCACGCCTTTGGGAATTGGCTTTATCTCTACTTCTGCTGCTCAAGCTGCAGTTGATCTTTCTCACTTTTTAATGCTGTGATAAAAAACTGTCTTGTTTCTGTATCTCGATACTAATGGCCAACAACAATATTTATCATCACAATGCTAATACTTGTTTTTCTTTCACCGAGCCTGACCCTGAACCTGACGATATTTCTGTTTTTCTTCGTCATATTCTCCATCCTTCATCTAATTTTATGACCCATGAAATGCAAGATACCTCGTCGCTACCTCATCTTCTGCCTAAAAATCAACATTGCCTTGGTATATCGGATGGCGAGTTATCTTCCGTATTGAATTCGTCGGGTGGTGGCGTTTTCTCGTCTTCTTATGGGGCTTATAATGTCCCAGCAAGTGTAGCAAATGTTTCTTCTTCATCTGTTGGGACTATGGACAACGACCCAGATGAGTATGAATGTGAAAGTGAGGTATTTGTACACACTTCCTTTTTCGTTTTTCATTAGTTTATCAATTTAATAAGTTCCGAATTTGGTGTTTTTATTAAGGCCCTGGCCCTGATTCTTTATGCTACAGGGTGGTACGGAGGACTTGGGGGTGGAAGTTTCAGCACAACCACCACCACCTAGTAACACTAATTCCAAGAGAAGCAGAGCAGCTGAAGTCCACAATTTGTCTGAAAAGGTTGTTTCTTTTATCTAGTTTTATGGTTACTAGTATGTTATTTGAACGTACAATTTCAAAAGTTATAGTACTAATAAATTCTGTACTAGAAGTCTTAAAAATCGAACCTGCTAAGTTTAAATCCTCTACTTATCACTGATGTTATGGGTATGTACTTGGCAGAGGAGGAGAGGCAGAATTAATGAGAAGATGAAAGCATTGCAAAATCTTATTCCAAATTCTAACAAGGTGAGTATTTAATTTTGAAACTAGAAAATGATTTATCAGCATAGTTAAAGATTGATAGTGAGTTGATTATTTTCTAATGGATTTCTGGACAGACCGACAAGGCTTCAATGCTTGATGAAGCCATTGAGTACCTCAAGCAGCTTCAGCTCCAAGTACAGGTCTCTGCTTTTTATTTTAAATTTGCTGGTTCTAGCTTTTTCCCAAGGGATTCTATTTTAAATTTTCTGCATGTTTTGGTTATTTCTGTGTTTGATGACAGCTAACAACGTTAGATGGATTTGCCTTTTAATCCTGTGTTTGATGACCGTTCCTTTCCTACTTCTGGTTCTAAAGTACTGAACACCTTGATCTTACTGTTTTTGTTTGGGATCAAATTTCCTCCACCGGTGCACCACCGTGTTTTTGTTGGTTTCTTAAATGATGGTACAGCAAAAAAGGTTGGAAGAATAGTTAAAGCACTACTTAAGTAGCTCAGCCAGAAGTCCAGAACATGATCAAATATCTTATTCACCTTTCACACTCATCTGAATAATGTTGGCTTTCTTTATTGTAATGTTTAATAGGAGCTAGTGTTATGTGTTATTATAATCGTTCAGTAGGTTGTGGACTTCTTTCTCCTATGGATAATCAATTGTACGAACTGGGGAATTGTGAAATGACATTGGCGTCATAAGTGACACATTGGCTTGAAAATGTTTATCTGGAAAATTTTGAATGAAAAAACTAATAAATTTCCTGTTCCATACCCGGAAAGTTTGTTTCATATTGATAACTTATAATGGAAAGATTAGAGAGAAATGAAACTGCATACATCAATATTCAATTCAAGATGCTTTGGATGGTTATTAACATGTTCTCTACCTCCTTTGTCATCGAAAATTCTTTTGGCTAATCTATAACTCAGTATATTTCCTAGATTGGTACTAGATCTGGAGTTTGTTTTAAGTTATGATTTGTAGCGTGATAATGTGCTTGAAATATCAGATGCTGACAATGAGAAATGGGTTAAGCATGTATCCTCTGGGCCTACCACGAGTGTTACAGCAAAATCAAGTCTCCCAGCTAAGTATGGGTTTATGCGAGGGGAATGGATACACAAATGCTAAAGCGGCTGGGGCTCTCCATGTAAACCAAGACACATCGTTAAATGCCATTTTTTGTTCAGGGGATAATCGTACAGAGACAAAGCTAACACCAGTGGCAACTATGTCAAATGTAAACCATTCAAACAATGCTTTTGAATCAGAGTCATCGATCAATGTTCACCTTGATCCCTTTCAGCTGTCAAGATCTACGAGTAACGTTAGTTGAATGTGACCTATTGGAATGCAGATTAAGGAATCAGTATATAACTATTTGACATTCACTTTCTGTTTGTTGCATAGGGAACTTTGAGGGAGGATTGGTTACCTTTACATGAAATGGGTGAGCGACAGACCAAAACTGTTTCAATTGGTAAGTTGTTTGCTTAACATCCTTACCTATTTTACAGTTTTTTGCCTTGGATCCTGTTCTCTTTATCATTGTTGTTTCATTGTGTAATAGGAGAAAATGTGGCATCCTCAGTTCCCTTTGATGCATCTGAGTTGAAGAGAAATACTCTTGAAGCATGCTTGCGTCGATATCAATTTGGAGCTATGAGTGAAACCAATATGGATTGCGACCAATTTCTTGCCCCACAATTGTATAGGTAATTAGTACCTGGCACAAGAGCTTTCCACAAAGATTTTTTTAAAAAAAAATTTGTATTACTAATTTTCCTAATTCTACTGTCAGCCATGCTGGGAGAAGTACATCTGTTGACACTATCATCAAAACCGAATGCAGCAACTTCTGAAATTTTATTTGCATCATCCTGCTGGAAATTATCGAAAAAATGACATGTATCTTGCTGCTTAGGATAAAGTTTAATGTAAGCTAATTTATGGGTTCAAACGCGATTCTATGGAGCGAATCATGTCTGCATTGCTTGTACTGTTGTTTCATGTAAAATTTGGCATATAAATGTAAAGACTGCACTATATTCTATCTTGTTAAGACGAGTAAGTAGCATATACTCAGCTTTGTCCGACTAATCTAAAGCTGATTAGACAAGCTTCATACACGTAGTTCAGTTAGTGGATGAACTGTAAACTACTAATCAAAAGAAACAAGAAGAATCACTACACATAAGATCAAAGGTTTTCTTTTCTTCTTGAGCAATGAGGAAATGTAGAGATCTCTATGATAATTTAACAGTGCTCAAAACAAAACATCGTGTAGTTTGTTTGAATCAAGTTCATTGCTTGTGAAGCTCGTTTATACTTCAAACCCGTTACATCATAAAGAATATGATGTAAAGGGTAAAAGGGAGTACCTTTTGTGTTGATGCAAGAATCACAACTTGCATCCTCCATTGTGGTGTTTTCGGCATATAGGAAAAAACTTCTTTCACCTTATAAGAAATATTTTCTCAAACAGTGTTTTATTTGTTGAAAATGTTTAATTCCATGTATTTATGCAACTTGTGACAAGTTAATATGTCGTTTCAAGTATATTAAAATCTTATTCCATATCAATAGCTAATTTTCAGGTAACTATATATCTTCATCTTCGCCTTGTTTCTTTTTGTTATGTCGAGGAAGAGGCAAACCCGAAAATAAAGAAGATAAAGAACACCAAATTTTAACGTGGAAAACCCTTCAAATTGAAGGTAAAAACCACGGGATCACAAAGATCCAAAAAGCTTCACTATAACAATAATAGGGTTACAAAAGTTCTCAAAAAGGCTACACAACAAGTGCCAAACACGGAGCAATAATAGCAACAAGAGCAACAATTAATCAATTGAAGAAAGAGGAGAATCCACAAAAATGAAGCTGCTGTTCGAGGCTCGAAATCAGATGCTACGGGCCTCCAAATCCGATCTCCACCGTTCAAATCAAAGATGAAGATGTTACGAACACTTCGTCAAAATATCAGCCCGATCCAACGGTTAACGAATCGAGAAACGTGATTTGAAGTTGGCTGGTGGGAATAAAAATATACAGCAAAACAAATACTTTTCTTCTCTCTTTTCTCTTGATGAAAGCTCTCTCAAAAACCACTCTTATGTGCTTAAGTATTTCAAAGACTTGTATCAATGAGCATCAAATAATTCTCCAAGGTTGTCCTATTTATAGATCATGAGTGGTGCTTTCTCTTAAAGCCAAAACTCACTCAAAATAGGGATAAACACCGAATCCAATTCCGAATAGGAGTGGAAACCAAAAGAGAATAGGATTAGGCCATTGGGCCTTTGGCTGGACAACATGGGCATGTGCCCAACAAACTCCCCCTCCAGTCAAGGGGCCAAATATGTGTTCAAGTAGGGGAACTTGACATGCTTCATGCCTGCTAATTTTTTTGCAAAACGCATGCTTATCTGTAAGCTTAACTACGAAGTCCTCAGGCTGATCCATATAAATCTCCTCATTTAAATCACCATGGAGAAAAGCAGTCTTGACATCCATCTGCTCAACCTCTAAATCTAGACTTGCAGCAAAGCCTAGAACCACACGAATAGAAGACATCTTCACAACAGGGGAGAAAATTTCATCAAAGTCAACTCCCTTCTTCTGGCCAAAACCTTTAACAACTAACCTCGCCTTGTATCTAGGCGCAGAGTTATGGTTATCTTGCTTTATTCTGAATATCAATTTGTTAGATAAAGCTCTCTTACCTTTCGGCAATTTCACTAACTCATATTTGCCATTCTCATGGAGTGACTTCATCTCATCTTCCATGGCTTCGATACACTATTCTTTGTGAGTACCTTGCATGGCTTCAGCATAGCTCTCAGGTTCTCCCGTGTCAGTCAAAAGTACATACTCATCAGGAGGATAGCGCATGGATTTTTGCTTCTCCCTTGTAGATCTTCTAAGAGAGGTTTCAGGAGAATTCGAAATAGACCTGAGCAGAAATTGGTTGCTGGTCAACCACAACTTCATCAACTGAAGCATCGATAACATCTATACCATGATGATCATTTGATCTTGATCACTATCTCCATCACTGTCTTGGGTTCCTTGATGTGCAATAGGTGCCTTAGCAATAGAAACTGGGTCATTATCAACTAAGCTCTCATTACTCTGAGAATCTATCTTCTCAGCTTTGCCAATATCTTCAATAGTCTGGTCTTCAAAGAATATTGCATCACGACTTCTAATAAGTTTATTGTCAACTGGATCATAAAAACGATACCCGAATTCATCTTGACCAAAACCGATAAAGATGCACTGCTTAGTTTTGGCATCCAGTTTTGATCTCTCATCTTTAGGAACATGCACACAAGCTTTACACCTAAAAACTCTCAGGTGATCATAAGAAACATCTTTGGCAAACCAAACTCTGTCTGGGGAATCACCATCCAAAGCAACAGTAGGAGACAAATTAATAACATAGGCAACAATGTTAAGTGCTTCCGCCCAAAATGTATTTGGAAGTTTAGCTTCTGAAAGCAAGCATCTAACTCTCTCAACTAGAGTTTTATTTATCCTCTCTGCCAAACCATTCAATTGAGGCATCTTGGGCGGAGTTTTCTGATGACGAATTCCTTGTTCCTTGCAATAGTAATCAAAGAGACCACAATATTCACCACCATTGTCAGTGCGAATACATTTTAATTTCTTGGCCTTCTGTCTCTCAGCTAAGGCCTGAAATTATTTAAATGGGCCAAGTGCTTGATCTTTAGATTTCAAAGGATACACCCAGAGCTTACGAGGATGATCATCAATAAAGGTCACAAAGTAAAGTACACCACCTTTTGACTTTACTTTAAAAGGACCACACAAATCAGAGTGTACTAGCTCTAATAAATCGGGCTTTCTTGAGGGAGGATGGCTATGAAAGGAAACCCTTTTCTGTTTGCCAGCTAAACAATGGATACACCTTTTCAACTTTGGCTGTGTCACTCTAGAAAGCAAACTTTTCTTAGCCAAACACGTAATCTCCCTCTCCCTCATATGACTTAATCTTCTGTGCCACAATTCTGATAAAGTATCACTTTCCACCAGATTTATGGAGTCATTAAGAATAGAGCCTTGTGTCACATATAATTGACTAGACTTGACTCCTCGAGCCACTACTAACGAGCCCTTGGTGAGCTTCCATTGTCCATTAAAGAGGGCATTATGGTAACCTTCATCGTCTAATCTTCTTGCGGAGATCAAATTGAAAGGAAAGTCTGGAGCATGCTTGAAATCTTGAAGAACTAACGTTGAACCATTATTAGTTTTCAAACAAATTGTGCCAACATTAAACACCTTAACTTCACTGTCATTGCCCATCTTTAACACTCCAGAATCAACAAGAGTATAAGATGAGAAAAAATCTTTTCTTGGTGTGACATGTGAGGTAGCTCCAAAATCTACTATCCAGCTCGTCTCATGAGATACCAAATTGATGACGTTTTCATCATAAGCAAAAATAAGGTCATCTCGAACAATAGCAGCAACATTGTTCTCGTTATTTTCAACTTTTTTTCCTTCTCTAATGTCTTGTAACAACTTGCGGCAAAACCTTTTGATATGTCCTTTCTTGCCACAGTGGTTGCATGTAATATTATAGTATTTGGACCTTGACTTACTTCTACTTTTACCTCTATTCCTTGAGCCTCTTATTCTATCTCTCCCCCAATCTTCTATAACCAAGATAACTGCTTGTGAGGACGAACCTTGAGATTTTCTCCTTACTTCCTCGTTCAACACACCATATTCCATGGTCACCTTACCTCCAGGAGCTGAATTTGTCAAAGAAACACGAAGAGTTTGCCAAGAATCCGGTAAAATATTAAGAAGCCAAAGTCCTTGTATCTCATCATCAAAATTAACTCCCATTCCAGACAACTGATCAAGGACGCCCTGAAAATATTTATGTGATCAAGGATAGGGCTGCCTTCCTTATATTTAAAGGTCATCAATTGCTTTAGCAGGAACAACTTGTGGTTCCCAATTTTGAAGCATAAAGAGTCTCTAGCTTTTTCCACAATTATCTCGCATGTGTCTCGTGCACAATATGGTTGCGAACATTATCTTCAACCCATTTTCGTATATATCCACATACTTGTTGGTGCTCAAAATCCCAATCTTCATCAGATACACTCTCGGGTTTATGAGCTGAAAAAACGGGTAGATGCATCTTCTTCACGAACAACAAGTCTTTCATCTTGCTTCTCCAAACTTTATAATTTCTCCCATTTAAACATTCCATCTTGCTCATATTTGCCTCCATTCCGTAACAACCTGGATAAATAACCAAGGCTCTGATACCACTGTTATGTCGAGGAAGAGGCAAACCCGAAAATAATTAAAGGAGATAAAGAACACCAAATTTTAACGTGGAAAACCCTTCAAATCGAAGGTAAAAACCACGGGATCACAAAGATCCAAAAAGCTCCACTATAACAATAAGGGGGTTACAAAAGTTCTCAAAAATGACTACACAACAAGTGTCAAACACGGAGCAACAATAGCAACAAGAGCAACAACTAATCAATTGAAGAAAGAGGAAAATCTACAAAAATGAAACTGTTGTTCGAGGCTTGAAATCAGATGCTATGGGCCTCCAAATCCGATCTCACCGTTCAAATCAAAGACCAGGATGTTACGAACACTCAATCAAAATATTAGCCCGATCCAACGGTTAACGAATCGGAAAATGTGATTTGAAGTTGGCTGGTCGGAATAAAAATATGCAGCAAAACAAATACTTTTCTTCTCTCTTCTCTCTTGATGAAAGCTCTCTAAAAAAACCACTCTTATGTCTTAAGTCTTTCAAAGACTTGTATCAATGAGCATCGAATAATTCTCCAAGGTTGTCCTATTTATAGATCATGAGTGGTGCTTTCTCTTAAAGACAAAACCCACTCAAAATAAGAATAAACACCGAATCCAATTCCGAATAGGAATGGACACCAAAAGAGAATAGGATTAGGCCATAAGGCCTTTGGCTGGACAACATGGGCATGTGCCCAACACTTTTCTAGTTCTTCTTTGGTCGTGCGTGTAAGAAATGAACATTGAGACCAAGTATAACCCAAAACTTCTACCTGTAAAATTCCAATCTAGGAGGCTACGAGTAAAATTTGACAGAGGGAAGTTTACTCACAAGTTTTAGTAAAACGTATTGACGTCAACAAATAAAAAATGTTTAAGAACTAGAAGTCAAGTGAATCAAACTTAGAACGGTCTCTTCATTATATTCCTGTATGATGTAGAAAAGTGGTTCGCGTCTCTCCTACTTCGCCTAAGACAAGGTTATTTCGGCCCAATATCTACCCAACACGTATAAAAGCAAGACTAAGCCTATTTTGGGAGGGGAGACGCCACTGTGAAGCAAAAAATACACACGAGGAACATCCGGGAGCGAGGATATCTCAGTTTTCTTCATCTTTTCTTAGTATTCTCACTTATTCAACACTTGTGAATTTGTTTTGATATTATCATGAGTGGCTAAAACCCATAGTTCTGGGGTTGTGATTTAGCCATAAATATTATTGTTTAAAGTTGACTTAACCTTGATTACAATTCACTAATATATGATTATTTCTTCAATTATATGATTAATTACTTAATTGTCTGGCCAACAATTAGGTTCTATATACTATCTATGCTATGCTTGGGAAAGCTACGTCTAGATTAGAGAAGAATTGAAGAGAGCATGATCTTAACTCTGAATGGGGGCAGATTTGTGGTTAGGATAGGAATATACCTAGTCACCGTGCTTAATTAAATATCATAATCTCAATGCGTTCTTAATAGATTGATTCCATAGGAATATAGGCGTTAATCTATTTTGAATAGGCGAGTAGGAATTCGGGAGAAAACTACGAGAGCAATTGTTCGATTAATTAGCAACCATAAGTGAATTGTATGAAAGGGAGAGTTAATTAGAGCACAATAGGATTGGTGAATCGATCACAACCCTGGAATATTCGTCTCTACTGAATACACAACAACTACTTTGCTGCTTGTTTAAAATAGTTACTTGTTAGAATTATTGCTTAGTATAATCACTCTTTTGAACTCGGATTGACTTGACTAAATAATAATCTGGATGAAACTAGTGGGTAGTTAATATAAGTCTCTGTGGGTTCAACACTCGACTTATCATGTATGACCACGTATACTTGTGTGTGCGTTTGGGAGCAACAAGTTTTTGGCGCCATTGCCTGGGACTTGAATATTGACTACTTTCTAGTTTTTACTTTAGTGGTTTATTTCGTCAAGTCTAGCATTTCTTATTAGTTGCTCTGCTCTCAGGAACTTGGATTGAATGAGAAGGGTTAGAGGCCAGGATAAACTTCAAGACTTTGACCCCGAACATGATTTCACAGGAGGTTGAGGGAAGCAAGGGATAAAGATAATGTTCAGGCACTTGTTCAATTTCTTGTGGACATGGCAGAGGAGCAACATTTGGTTGTTCAAAAGGTGGCGATGCCCAGCATTGCTAATGTCACCTCCAGCATTGTGAAGCCCAGAATCACTAGGCACGTTGAACTGAAACAAAGCATGATCCAGCTACTACATGCGAATGGGCAGTTTATGGGTCTTCACACGAGGATCCACAACAGCACATCCTGAACTTCCTATTGATTAGTGATACTTATATCACTAACGGAGTCATTCTAGACTATGTGAGGCTCACACTGTTCCCGTTTTCTCTGTTGGGTGAATCTAAGCGGTGATTGAAGGCGGATCCGGCTAATTCCCTAACATCATGGAATGATCTGGCGAAAAAAAAATTGGCAGGGTTGTTTCCTTCAGGCAAAAATGCAAAGATCAGAAGCAAGATAGTCGCCTTCAAACAGAAATCGGGGGAGTCTTTATACTCGGCTTGGGAAAGGTTTAAGGGACTGCTCAGAGACTGTCCTCATCACAATCAGACAAATGAAGTGTTAGCTCACACTTTCATAGAAGGGCTACATCCTGAGATAAAGATTGTGGTGGATGCTGCAGCGGGAGGTCAAGTATTGGAGAAAAGCTTCGATGAGATAATGCATTATTGAACAAATTCTCCAAAAGCAATCCTGATTGGCAAGGAGAGATGGGCAGACACACAATACAAAAATCTGCAGAGGTTCTCGAGTTAGATATCGTCTTTGCATTACCAGCGCAGGTTTCCACATTGGCCAACCAAGACAATAAGATGACCTTGGTTATTAACAAGCAACAAGCTCAGCCAGTGCAACAGGTTAAATTATTTTGTGAAGCATGTAGAGAGGGTCATACGAGCGACTTATGCCTAGCTAATCTATAGTATGTCTGTTTTGTGGGTAATGCAAATAAGGACCAGATAAATCAATATGGGAAGACTTACAATCCTAACTGGAGGAACCACCCAAACTTCTGTTAGGGTGGAAACCAAAGGTGATCAGAATCAGTATAGGCCACAAGCTCCTCAACAACAGTATAGACCACCTCAGGCTGAACAACCTACAAACCCAGTGATTCACATTGAGGAGATGCTAAAGAAATTGATGGCTGATCAATAGGCTCAAGCAGCAGCCCATGCTGCAGCGATTTGAAATCTAGAGAGACAAGTGGGGCAACTTGCCAGTGCTCAAAATACTCGACCAGTTGGAGCTCTTCCAAGAGATACTGAGGCTAATCCTAAAGCATCTATTAATGTTGTGTCATTGAGGAATGGTAGTCAGTTAGAAGAAGTCCCGTCGAAAAAAGAGGAAGCAAGTGACCTTTCATGAGAAACCAGCCACCATAGAAGCAGAATCAGAAAAAGCAAAGGAGTCAGAGAAGCCAACTAAAGAGGCGGTGGCTAAGCAACCCCCACCATTAGTTGTGAGGCCACCACCTTCGTTCCCTCAAAGATTGTAGAAAGTGAAGGATAATGCGGCCTATAAAAAGTTTCTTGATATTTTGAAGCAGGTGTAAATCAATATTCCGCTGGTAGACATTTTGCAAGAAGTTGCCAAATACATCAAGGACATTGTGTCAAATAAGAGGAGGTTGACAGAGTTCAAGACTGTGGCACTCACTGAAGAAGGTAGGTCAAGAATTTAAAGCAAGCTACCTCATAAATTGAAGGATCCAGGTAGCTTCACTATCCAAATCTTGATTGGTAAACATGCAATCGGGCGAGCTTTGTGTGATCTTGGGGCAAGCATCAATTTGATGTCGCTATCTGCGTTCAAACAGTTAGGGTTGGGTGAGCCTCGCCCAACCATAGTGATTTTACAGTTGGCTGATCGCTCCCTTGCTCATCTTGAAGGAGTGATTGAAGATGTGTTAGTTCAAGTGGGTTCTTTCATATTCCCTGTTGATTTTATTATCTTGGACTATAAGCCCGATCAGGAAGTCCTATTTATTTTGGGGCATCCATTCTTAGCCCGAGCCGAGCTATTATTGATGTACGTGAAGGAAAGATGACGATGAGAGTGGATGATCGAGTAGAGGTGTTCAATGTGTATAAAGCACTCAGATTACCAGCCCACTATGAAGAGCTATCCATGATTTCTATGGTGGAAAGTGATGTGACGTCATTGGTACCTTATATTAGCCCCATAGATCCTCTTGAACGAGCCTTGATTGGGGATGAAGACGATAGTGAGGATGAGATGATAGAAGAAATTGAGCAAGTACTTAACATGTCTTGCAATTATGTCCATGGGTTTGGGAGATTTGAGGAGTTGCACAGGCATGTTACTCTGACCCCTCCTAAGCCATCAATTGAAGAAGCTCAAAGCTAGAGCTTAAGCCCCTTTCAGCGCATCTGCGCTATGCTTATTTGGGGAACACTGAGACATTGCTAGTGATTATCTCATCCAGCTTGAATGATGTGCAAGAAGAAAAATTGCTCAAAGTGCTTCGTGAGCATAAAAAGGCTATCGGGTGGACAATTGCTGACATCAAAGGGATCAGTCCATCATTCTGCATGCATAAAAATTTTCTGGAAGATGAACACCGCCCTAGTGTTGAGCAACAAAGGAGATTAATTTCCGTTATGAAAGAGGTCGTAAAGAAGGAAGTAATTAAGTGGCTCGATGCAGGCATCATCTTCCCCATTTCTGACAGCAACTGGGTAATCTCAGTGCAATGTGTGCCTAAAAAGGGGGATGATTGTTGTAGAGAATGAGAAGAATGAGATAATCCTACTCGCGTCGTGATGGGGTGGAGAGTTTGCATTGATCACAGAAGGTTCAACAAAGAAACCCGCAAGGACCACTTCCCACTTCCATTCATTGACCAAATGTTGGACAGATTGGCGGGGCATGAATATTATTGCTTTCTTGATGGTTACTTGGGGTACAACCAGATTGTCATATGCCCAGAGGATCAGGAAAAGACCACTTTTACATGTCCTTATGACACTTTTTCTTTCAAGCGAATGTCGTTTGGTCTTTGTAGTGCATCGGTCACTTTCCAAAGATGCATGATGGCTATTTTAACTAATATGGTGGAAAAATTTGTGAAAGTTTTCATGGATGATTTTTCAATCTTTGGGTCTTCTTATGATGACTATTTGAAGAATTTAGGCAAGGTGTTAGCCCGTTGTGAAGAGACGAATCTAGTGCTAAATTGGGAAAACTACCATTTTACAGTACAAGAAGGAACCGTGTTAGGCATATAGTATCAAGGAGCAACATTGAAGTTGCTAAGGCGAAAGTGGAGGTGGTTGAAAAATTACCTCCACCAATTTTTGTGAAGGGTGTCCGGAGTTTCTTGGGACACGCGGGTTTCTATAGACGCTTTATTAAAGATTTTTCAAAAATTGCTACTCCTTTGTGTAGGTTGCTTGAAAATGATGTAACCTTCAATTTTGATGAAGCCTGTCTGAAGGCATTCGAGGAGCTCAAAAAGAAGTTGGTGGCTGCCCCCATTATTGCAGCACCGGGTTGGTCCTTACCATTTGAACTTATGTGCATTGCAAGTGACCATGCTATTGGGGCAGTGCTAGGCCAGAGGAAGGATAAGATCTTTTACTCCATATACTATGCGAGTAAGACTCTTGATCATGCACAGCTGAATTACACCACCACAAAAAGGAGTTGTTGGCTGTTGTGTGGGCTTTTTGAGAAATTTCGGGCATACTTGGTGGGAACAAAAGTCATAGTCCATACAGATCATGCAGCAATCAGGTATCTATTTATAAAAAAAGTATCCAAAGCTAGATTGATGCGCTGGGTTTTATTGTTGCAGGAATTTGATGTGGAAATACGAGATCGAAAGGGCACAAAAAATCAAGTAGCCGACCGTCTATCAAGGCTGGAAAATCATAAGCACGTGGAGGAAGGTGGAAAAATTAAGGAGGCATTCCCTTATAAGAAATTGTTTGCTATCATCCAAGACCCTCCCATGGTAAGCCGACTATGTGAATTATCTTGTACTTCCTCCTGAAATTGAATCTGAAGCTAGAAAGAAGTTTCTACATGATGTGAACTTCTACTACTGGGATGAGCCATTCTTTTACAAACACTGTGCTGGTTAGTTGATGAGGAGGTGCATTCTAGAAAGGGAGGTGGAATTAGTGTTGTATGATTTCCATGCCTCGCCTTATGGGGGCCATCATGAAGGCTATAAGACAGTTGCAAAGGTGCTACAATCTAGGTTCTTTTGGCCAACATTGTTCAAGGATGCCCATGCATTTGTTAAGAAGTGTGACTAGTGTCAAAGAATAGGGATAATCACAAAGAGGCATGAGATGCCTTTGAATAACATCCTGGAGGTAGAGATTTTTGATGTGTGGGCTATAGACTTTGTGGGAACATTCCCATTGTCTAGAGGAAACAAATATATCTTGCTAGCAGTTGACTACGTGTCAAAATGGGTAGAGGCGATCGCATTGCCAACAAATGATGCCAAGGTGGTAGCTGCTTTTGTGAAGAAGAGCATATTCTCGAGGTATGGGACTCCACGTGCTTTGATTAGTGGCAAAGAGACACATTTTTGCAATCGGTTGTTGAATAACCTTCTAGCTAAATATGGGGTCCGCCATAGAGTAGCCACGACATATCATCCGCAAACAAGTGGACAAGCTGAGGTTTCCAACAGAGAGATAAAGCAAATATTAGAGAAATCAGTGAGTGTGAATAGGAAGGATTGGGCTGCAAAGTTAGATGATGCCTTATGGGCATATAGAACTGCATACAAAACACCAATTGGGGCGTCGCCGTATAAACTTGTTTATGGGAGGGCATGTCACTTGCATGTTGAACTTGAACACATGGCGTACTCGGCAATTAAAAAGTTGAATATGGACTTTGAAGCTGCGGGAGGCTCTTGCAGTTGAATGAGTTAGATGACTTTAGGCTGCACTCTTATGAAAATGCTAAGCTTTATAAGGAGAAGACAAAAAGATGGCATGACAAGCGTATCAAGCCACGTCACTTCGAACCGGGCCAACAGGTACTATTGTTCAATTCTAGACTCAAGCTGTTCCTGGGAAGTTAAAATCGAGGTGGTCAGGTCCATTTGAGGTGGTGAGGTTACTCCTTATGGTGCAATTGAGTTGCACGCTTTAAATGGTGAAAGAAAATTTTTAGTAAATGGGCAAAGAGTCAAGCACTATTGGGGTGGAATCATTAATCGTGAGAAGACCAAAGTGGTACTCGCTGATGAGTGAGCAAGGCCCTACGTCGTGCCACAACGTTAAATCAGGCGCTTGTTGGGAGGCAACCCATTTTTTTATTGCTTTCATAGCTTAGCTTTTTAATTTTTTTTTTGTTAGAGTAGAATAGAGTTTTTGTTTTCTTTGTAGACATTGAAATTATAGGTAGAATATTGTGGGGTATGTAAATTGGATATATATAGTGCTGGGGGGGGGGGATCGGGGATTTCATTCAAAAAAAAATCGGCAGAACAGCCCCCAAGCTAGCGCTCAGCGCTACTTGGCGCACTTTACAGTGTTTTCAATTCCCCCAGCGCCAAACCTAGCGTGGAGCGCTGGGCTAGGGGCAGGTAAGTATTATATTCTTTTTCTTTTTTGTTTTGTTTGTTTTTATTTTATTGTATTATTACCCATACCCATAAAACCCGACCCATATACCCATCTACCCTCACATTATAACCCATACCCAATCACCCAACCCATCTCCACAAAAAAAACAAGTTTAACATAACTCTAACCCTCCCCTCTCACCCGTAATTCTCTCTCTCTCTCTCTCTCTCTCTCTCTCTCTCTCTCTCTCTCTCTCTCTTTTTCTCTCAAGTTTTCAACTTGTTCTCTTTCTCTCATCCTAAATCCTCCAGGAATGTTTCTCTTATTCTTCTTTTTTCTTTTATTTGGTAGATAATAATAAACCTCCCCCTCCCAAATGCCCCAATCCCCAAATTCCCCATAAGTTGCTTCTTAGAACTTGTTCTATGGTGGGTGGCCCGAATGTGAACAAACTTGGTTGTGACAACTTGGTGTCATATTATATACGGAGTAGTATACTAGAATTCCCTCTACTTCATTGAAATTATGGAGGGCCACCAAGCGCCACCATTGTTGAACTAAGTTGCACACACTTCATCCCACAATGTGTTTGATAAAATGTTTGAATGAGTACTTTGTGCACGAGTGAAGTCTGAGTAACTGAGTGTAGTTGTATGTGATATCGGGCTAAGTGTGGGGTGTTTGGGGGTGGTTTTACATAATTCAGAGCTTAGCTTTAAGGTGCACATGTAGCCACACCATGTATCTTGTAGTATGTAGGTTGTAATACTTTGTTAGGAGTAGCTAGTGTAGTGCATTAGTGGTAGAGATTACGGATCATGTGCTACTTGCTTGCATTAAGGCTAAATCATTGCGCCATGATCAACCACTTGACTTGTGTGGCATGGGGAAGTCTTGAGTACCCATTGCCTTGTGGTGCAACACTTGTACGTTTTAAACCAAGATTGTGAGTATAGTACATTGAGCCTTCGGTTTTAAGTGTGGGGCCATCTTTGAATCCCGCTCCTAAAAAGCGCAAGCAAGGGGAAGGATCGTCGCGGCAAGCGAAAGGGAAACAACTTGCCAACGGATCGAAGAAGGCACCCTTGGGACCAAGGCCTCGCTTGGATCTAGTTCGTGATGATGCCATCCAATGGCATAATAACTTTGTGTTGTATGGGAGGTACGTCTCCGAGATAGGTATTAATGTGAAAACTTTGGAAAAGAACTTCCCGGGGGTGCTTGCCCGCTTGCCCGCTTGCAAGAAATGAAGATGGATAAGTTCCTCGAATGCCCTGGCCATGCAAATTTAAGCATGGTGCGAGAATTGTATGCCAATTGGAATGCGGACTTTTCACGTCATGGGTCCATAGAAAAGAGGTGCCAATGGATAGGCGGTCTTTATGTGAATTTTTGGGAGTTGATAGTCCGAACCTGCGGAGGCTACAAAAAATTGTCAAACGCCCAAGCTACCAGGCGACATGTCACACTCTTTGTGCCTTCGATTCGAATGCCAAGTGGATCAGAACTAAGGGCTATTCCCATCTTGAGATGATCCACTTCGATTTCAACAAGACCGCCAAGGTGTGGCAAAATTTCGTGCAGGCCAGACTCATGCTAGTTGAGCACAACAGTGAATGCACTCGAGCTCGAGTGTGTGTGATATTTTTTCTGATGACTGGGCAACCCATCAATGTGGGTGAGATCATGCTAGGGTAGATGTCCCGCACACGATTTGGGTGGAAAATCAAGAGATTCTTCTTTGGCAACTTGCTCACGTAGTACATGCTTTCCGGGGAGGTGCCTGAATATCCCGGTTATGACGAGGTTGTGGAGGCTCCTACGGGGTTGATGGACATCACATATTTGTTGGAGACTACATCTAATCTTAGCCAGGTGGCACAAAATGAGAGGGATGAGAAGTTCAACAGGTATCTCTATAGCTCCCTAAATGTGATCATGAGTAGGTTAGGTGTATCGGACGAGGAGCGTATGCATCTACACAATGATTTGTCCAGTTCTTCCAAAAAGATTTGGGGATTGAACCTGGAGTCCCGTTCACCCTTTAGAGGATGAGAACACTCACAAAGGCTCCGACACAGAGGATAAGATTGGTGATGAAGTCACGGGGCCCATGGCTTTGGTGCCCCTGGGAGCTGATGATGATGATGAGCTCGGAGCTGCGACTGGCGGGCATTCTGAGGAGGAGGAATCCGACTAGCAGGGAGTTTTGTTCCCACCCTACTTTGCTTTACATTCTTACATGCATCAGGGACTATGCATATGCTAATGGTGGGGTGGGGGAACTACTTCTTGTGATGTAAATTGTATAAATCTGTTTCTTTTTATTAGTTTTTTTTAAGAACCCGTAGTAGACTTAGTCTAGTATTAGAAGGAAAAAATACAAAAAAAGAAAAAAGAAAAAAAAATCAGAAAAAGCTCAAACTTTTCCAGACGATTGATCTTTTGGACAATTTTCTTGAGGGATTATGTCACACCTCCTTTTTCCCGAGGGGGATAGGGAGTTTTTTCAATTAAAGTGACAATAATAGAAATGGGATTAATTTATTAGATTCAGAGTCGCCACTTGGGATAATTTATGGTGTCCCAAGTCACCGGTTTATTTTAAAGGCAGAATAGCCTAAATGGTACCTGTACTTCAACCACTTTGTCATGCCGATCCCCAAACTTAGATATTTGCCAATTGAACACTTATACTCATTCAAAACGTGAATAATAAACGCTTATCCAACATGGCTTATCCTATGTGTCATATGTGGCTTCAGTGCGTGATTCACACGCCTGTAAGGGGCGTGAAGACAGTTAAAAAGCCCTAACGGTAATAATTTAGCCTATTTAACAGCCATCTTCTTCTTTCTACCTTATTCTCCATTGTTGAACATTATAGAAGCTAATTTCTATCCAAATCTGATGCCTTCTTCTTTTTTTGTTAGCTTCAACAGTGAAATATAAAATTTTATTTTCCTGTGATTCTTCGTTGCCCATCAATTTTTGCCATCTCCTTTTGTTTTGAAAGACGATTTTTTTCTGCTTCTCCTGCAACAAATAAGCTATTGCCGCCTCTTCTCCTTCAACAATGAAGAAGAAACCTTTGTGTTATTGTGGAGTTGCTGCAGATCTTAAAATGTCACGAACACCTACCAATCCTGGAAGGAGGTTCCTGGGCTGCCGAAGATATGAGATTGGTGAAGGTTGTGGCTTTTTCAGATGGGTTGATCCTGCGATTGAGGAAGAACACTACAAGACTCTTCTTGCGGCTCTTATTAAGAAGAGTGATCGATGCCATTGTCAAAGAAGACAAGGAAGGTCGAAGTTCAAAGTTGCTGCTATTATAATTGTGGTTGTAGTTGTTCTAATGTTAGCTATTATGTTTTTTGTTTAGGATTGATAGTGCACTTTCTTATTTCCTGGGCTTAGGCTACATATTTTGTGTTGATGTAAAATTTTGTTCATGGAATATATTGACAAAGGCTCCATTACAGCAACAAGTACTAATATAATGGCATGTGTTATAGGCAGTTAATAAAACATCCAAAATAAGGGAGTTGGTTTACAAAATATTGCCAACGATAGGCAGTCAACAAAAACATACATAATGAAGTAGCTTTACAAAATATTGTCTACCACAGTCAATAAAAACATACATATGTAAATATCAGTTGAGCACTTCAATTAATGTCTGTTGTGGCTTGGCTGCTTGGTGTGGATTGTGTAACTGGTGTGGCTTGAGTGGTTGTAGCAGACTTTGCTCTTCTGTAACTCTGTTCTTGCAGCTGCCTTTGTGTAGCTGCTGCTCGACCGTTCCACTTTAGTCCAGGTGGTTTGAACCTAAGTTCAATGTTGGTAGGAGCAGAACTTATGAGTGTAGAAGGATTGTGTACCACTCTGTCAGTAGTTCCAGACTGCACAAAAATAAAAGGTTGTGAGTGAGGGATTATGTAGTAAACCATTGTGTAATTGAGTGGAAATATTTACCCTCTGTATAACAGTGCCACTTGAATCAAATAGCACACTATATCCTACTGTCTTTGGTCTCTTAGAGCCTGCATTTGCACCACCTCTTCTAGGCTCATTGGTCTTCCTTTTTGGACCTCCTGCAATATTAGTTGATTGTTGTGTGCTTGGATCAATGATTGGTGGAGTGAAGGTGCCACTTTCCATAGTTGAAGGTGCTGCTGTTGATCCAGCCGCTGCTGATGATCCAGCTGCTGGTACTGATGCACTTCCAGCTGCTGCTGTTGCTGCAGTTCCACTTTGAGCAGTTTCACCTCCAACTGAACTAGTCCCAGCCTTTCCCCCTTGGTTTCTCTGCATACACATAACAAAACTATCACTAGTAGTTGAATTCTTTCAATATTAGTAACAAAACAAACATTAATACTTACTGCTGATGGGCATCCTTTCTTGTTATGTCCTAGAGTCTTGCACAAAGAACGTCTCATTTGTCTCCCTATCCTTGTACCCTTCCCAAACTTCTTCTTTGGTTCATCAGCAGCTTTTCTCCTTTTTTCCTTTGGCTTTCCTGGCATTGCAGTTATAACAGGTGGCTCAATAGCTGGCAGTGTGCTTTTTGGCCACAAATTCATACTAGTTAAAGGTTGAATGAATCTGCTATATGCTTTAAGGTAGGTATCCTTTCTATACCAATGGTCAACATATGGCTCAACCTCATAGTTCTTATAATGCATTGCTGTAATTGCATGTGCACATGGAATTCCTTTGAGTTGCCATGATCTACAAGTACAGGAACATATCCTAAAGTCAACAACATGTTTATATGGCCCATCCTGGATCTCATACCCTGTTTCACCATTAAATTTGACTTCACATTTGGCTGCCCTTTGAGCATTCTCTTCAAGTATTTCCATAGCCATGGGTGATATATCACCTACCCATTTTTCAGAAAACTCTCTCATGCTATTCATCCTCTCCATACACTTGATTCTAATTTCCTCTAACATAGTAATGAGAGACTTGTGCCTAGCTGCCAATATCCAACTATTGAATGTCTCACACATGTTGTTCTCCACTACATCACACTTACTATGTTCTTTGAAGTATGCCCTACACCATATTTCCTTGTTGTATTTCAGTAATTCTTGAACAACATCTCCCCCCAGCTGGTCCGTTTCATCCAACTTCTTGCTAAAGTAAACTTCAAATGTAGCTCTTGCACACTGCCAGAATTTTTTCCTTCTTTCCTCACCAGGCCAAGTTTGCTTCCAATTAGCCCAGATATGTCTAACACACCATCTCATCTCAGCATTTGGCAATAACTGAGTTATTGCTAGATGAAGACCCTACAATCATAAAAACTATATTGTTATAACTTAAACATAAATGAAAACATTACACTTTAAACAAAGAGTATTAGAAATCATACCTTCTACGTATCAGACATGACTGTCAGCCATTCTCCTTCAGTTTCTGTCAAATTTAGATCATGCTTGAGACATCTGATAAACCAAGACCATGTATCCTTTGATTCCTTTTCAACTAATGCCCAAGCCACAGGGAACATTTGATTATTTCCATCCTTGGAAATGCAGGAAAGCAGTTCACCTTTACATGTCCCCTTTAGGAATGCACCATCAAAGCCAATTATGTTTCTGCACCCTTCTAACCATCCAGTTTTTAATGCTTCAAGACAGACATAAATGCCCATAAACACCTCCTTGCCAGGAATTGAATCCTTAGATGTCCTTATCACTACAGTAGTGCCAGGATTAGTAGACTTTAGCATTTCTGTATAATCATGAAGCCTAGCAAATTCTTTCTTGTAATCACCCGTATTCTCCTTCATAACTATCATTTTTGCTCTTCTACATGAAGTTTTACTCACATACAAGCCATATGATTTCCTAAGTAAGGCTTGAATCTGATGAAGCTTAATTTGAGGCTCACTAATTATTCTGTCTTTGAATTTTTTTGCAATCCATGGTGGGTTACACATCTTGTTCCTTGTTTTCTTGTAGCATTTATGGACAGGGTATTATGTAATCACCCTAAAATTACTGGTGCTGCCTTCTATGCTACCAAGGATATGCCATGGACAGCCTTTCTTTGTGCACTTTGCCCTAACCCTTTCCTTCTCATTAGGTTTCAACTTAAGGTTCACACCTTTTTTAATAGAATATGTCTGCAATGCCTCCCTAAACTGTACAGCATTCTCAAATATCATATACAATTCAAAAAATATTTTTTTGCAAGTTGTGTCAAAGTAGACCTTCTTACTTGGATTCCTAGCTGGTGCATCCCTTACTTCATCAGGGCCAACAAGTTCTCTTTCATCATCACTACACTCACAACCTGGATCTGAGCTATCAAAATACTGGTCATCCCCTCCTAGTTTCCCTTCATATTTTCCCCTTTTGTTCTTATGCATATCTTCAAAACCAGCATCTATACCAACTGGACCAAATGGTATCTCATCTACATTTACTTGGGAATCCTTCTTTTTGTTGAGTTTAGACTGTCTAATTTCAGCTAAATCATCTTCCAAATCACTACACTCTTCAATGTTCTTATCTATATCAAACAGTGAGTCAGACCCTTCAGAATCATCAAGGTCCTCATCAAAATCAGATTCTGATGTTTGAAGGTGATAGGATGAGAAGTTATTACCTTTACGTTCATCTGATTCTTCTATCTCTTCATTTATATCTGCCCCCTTACCCTTATTTTTGTCATTTTCAGTCCTATTTATATCATAGTTGGGAGGTGACACAACAGCCCTAGCATTTAACCCACTGTCATGCCCATCTGTTTGTATAGTGGGGTCTAGTTCAGTTATGTCCTCAACAAGAATAGGCTCACTAATTTTATGGACAATACAAACATCAACAAAGTCACCACCTTTCAATGTATTAAGAAGCTTTAACACATCAACATCTGTTTTTAAAATGTAATAGTCACCCCTTTTGTTAACTTTGCATCCAAACAAATCAACTTCTAAAAATCCTAAGTCACTAGCAAACTTGTGAAACAACATAATATGTAGCTCATCAACATCAACAGTAGCTAATTGAGGACAAGTTAGTCCATTTGCATACCTTAGGTCAGGGTCGGATACAAAATTACCACTGTGGTGGATTTGTAGGTTAACTAGGGTTGAAGCCATTTTCTTTTCATACCTGAAAAGTAACAAAAAAAAACAGTGTTATCAATGACTATTTGTTATCAAAAGTTGCACCTTTACACAACTCCATAAACAAACCAACAAAAAAGATAGATTTTTAAAGTAAAAAAGCTTCCAAGATTCCTTTTTCGTCCCCACAATGCCTTATAATATTCAGAAATACTGTGGTGGACCACTAACAAGAAGGAGACCCAAAAAACATCACAAAAAAATGCATAAACATAAGATGAAATTCTGCTTTGACAACAAAAACCCAAAACACTAAACGGAATAATCAAATATGCCATTACATGCATGACACTACATTAAAAAGGGCTTTCACTCTAACATGTAGCAAAACACAACGAAAGCCCTATATATTAAGGGGGATTAAACAGCAATTACGACCTAACCCAACCTTCCCCTAAAAAAACCTAAACAGAGCAAAAGCCCCATAAATAGAGGGAAATGAAGAACAATAAAGACAAAATATGAAAAACAAATGAAGAAACTTACCCCACAAACTTCGATAACAACTGTACAGATGAAAATCCCGGAAACAACGACGGAGAAGAGAGGAGAGACTCACTGTTGTTCGATACTATCTAAGCCCTAAGTACGCGGGTAATTGTAAAATGAGGGGAAAATGTGGTTTGGGGGGGGGGGGGGTTAAATAATCCTTTGCCGATTTTTTATCCTATTTGGCCATCATATGTGACTTGGAGCCTACGTGGTTTTATTTTATTGACGTGGCGTCCTACGTGTAGGCGATTGTCATACACGCACTGGTAGCCTCCTTGGATAAGCGTTTATTATTCACGTTTTGAATGAGTATAAGTGTTCAATTGGCAAATATCTAAGTTTGGGGACCGGCATGACAAGGTGGTATAAGTACAAGTGCCATTTAGGCCATTCTGCCTATTTTAAATCCCAAATCGAGGAGATTTGACTCTATTTAAAGTCTGCGAAAACCAGAAGACCGGGTAAGGAATTCAGTAAACCCGGGAGAAGGTGCTAGGCACTTCCGGATTTTGTGGTTTTAGCACGGTTGCTTTAATCATACCTGGCTTAATCAAATTGTTTTAATTACATATTTTAGAACCTATGTGCATTTACCTTCTTTGGCGTTATGGAATTAATCTTTGAAATGGACTACATATGTGTAAATCCGTTTTATTTGGCGCGCTAAAATCATGTCACGCGTACGTGTACACAATTGATCATGCTTTATTAATATTAAGATTGTTTCGTCCAAAGTTGCGCGAAAGCATACCTTGGTTTTAATTTTGGAAGTCATAATCGTGTCACGCGAACGTGTACACAATCATGTCAGTCGATTAAGCGCGCGCCTAAAAGCTTTTCTATGCAAATTTGTGAATTTGTTTCATCTCAAGTTTTAGGACTAGATGATTGTGGAAGAAATTACATCCATTATTCCCAACCAAATAAGCACTTTCACGAATTTATCCCTACAGCAGAATTAACGATTGAAACATACGCATTGTCGATCCACAAACAAATAGACGGTCACGACCCGAATTTCCCACCGTCGGGACCGTGATGGCACCTAACATCGCACTCGCTAGGCAAGTCAACGTTAGAGTTCTATTTACCTTTTTCCTTTACATTTTATAGTTAAAACTAACAAAGCTAAATCAAACGGAAATAAATACGGAAGTATATAATTTATCGATCATCCTCATACTAATAACAATACCGAAACAGTTACCACCCAGAAACTGGTGTCACAATCCACGGACATTATATGAATATCTACAAGTATGGGTCGGAAAGGAAAATACATCTGTCTCGAAAGAAAATAAAACAGAAATGTAGAACATAGGAGGGGACGCCAGGGCCTCCGGACGCCTGCAGGACTACCTTGGGTCTCCTAGATGAATGCCTGCAACCGACCTCTCGATCAACCACAACCAACTCCAAAATCTGCACAGAAAGTGCAGAGTGCAGTATCAGTACAACCGACCCCATGCACTGGTAAGTGCCGAGCCTAACCTCGACGACGTAGTGACGAGCCTACGGCGGGGCATTTAAAATATAACCTGCAACAGTATATAACAAAGTAAAAAGGAAATACGAAACGAATTGGAATAGTAACTTGCAGCAAAATAAATACGGAACCCAAATATGCCAGTACTCAGCTATAACCAATCCTTAAGAGAGTTGCAATACTACAGGAATAAATCACAACAGAAGAAGAGTACATAAACAACAAATGATGCGGTGCGCATCCCGATACCACTATATCATCAGTAACAATATGAACATTCACCCTTATTACTCCTGTTGCGGCATGCAATCCGAACCCACCTGTCCACCCTTATTGTACCTCATATATACCACCCTTATTCCTCCTGTTGCAGCGTGCAACCCGATCCCACCTGTCCACCCTTACTACTCCTGTTGCGGCGCGTAACCCGATCCTACCAGACAATCACATTTCACCCTTATTCCTCCTCAACATATCACCCTTATTCCTCCTGTTGCGGCGTGCAACCCGATCCCACCATATCAACACCAATCACACAATAAGAACAAGTATTTCACAATTTAGCTCAAAACTCTCCACAACATTTATGCCTCAAACCAAATTAGACGGAGGTCTATACAATTATGAAAGCTTCATCAATTAATACTACCCAGCGAAACCAACCAAAATGTACCATGAAATACCGATAAATAAACTTAAACCAATACTGTGACACCATGAACTACGAAACAATTAATAAATAAGAAAACAACAGCTAACAAGAGGCAATTAAACATGGAAGCACCAATAAGCATGTAGCAGTTAAGATAGGAAAACAATACATTAGGAACGGGGAAGGGAACAAGCTAAAAAAGTAATTTGGCGGTGCATAGGTACTCGTCACCACACCTATACGCCACACACATAGAATTTCACATAGCAATTAAGTCGGGGATCCCTAATCCTCGAGTCAAGGTTAGACCAAACACTTACCTCAATCCAACGACCAATTCAAAGTTCAATTACCGCTTTTCCTCAAGATTCCACCTCCAATCCACTCGTATCTAGTCTTAATTAACTTAATAACACCAATTATCGCTAAAGAAATCAATTCCAATGCATAATTATAAGTTTTCCAACATTTTCCACAAAGTCAAAAATCGACCCCGGGCCCGCTTGGTCAAAACTCGAAGTTCGGACCAAAACCCGATTACCCATTCACCCCCGAGCCCGGATATACAATTGGTTTTGGAATCTGACCTCAATTTGAGGTCTAAATCCCCAAATTTCGAAATTCCTAAGTTCTACCCAAAAACTCCCAATTCCACCATGAAAAACCCTATATTCTATGATGAAATCTTGTAAAAAGATGCAAAAGATCGAAAGAAATGAGTTAAGAATCGTTTACCTATGATTTGGGGAAGAAATTGCCTTTGGAAAATCACCTCTTGAGGTTTAGGTTTGAAAAATGGGTAAATGAATGAAAATCCTGTCCAAGTCCAAAACTTATCAGCTGCAGATGTCGCATTTGCGACTTGAGCTTCACATTTTGCGAAACTCGCAAATGCGAGAAAGGTATCGCAAAAGCGAACCCCTCGCATTTCTGCTGCCTTCGCAAATGCGATGTCCCGGTCGCAAATGCGAACAAGGACTTCCGCAAATGCGGCCTGTTCTTCGCAAATGCGAACTCCCTAGTCCCCTCCCCTGC